CCACTAAAGTCCAAAACCATTGGGCCCACCAAGGCCCAATACAAAATCTTGGCCCAACTAGACATGTCCAAATAAAAGTCCAAAGCTCTAGGAACCCTCTGACCAAAAAGCCCAACACGCAAAAACTCCAATCCAAGTCCGAAGCCTAAAATGAACAAGCCCAAGAAGCCCAATGTTGGACCGAACGCTGGGCGTTCCCCTGTGGAACGTTGGGCGTTCGTTTCCTGACCTTTGATCGTGACTCGACATCGGAACGCACGACGTTCCCGACCAGGGACCAAAATTACATTTATGTCTTAATACTTTAAGTCCAACGTCCAAATCCTCAAAATAGCTTCATATCAGTAACTTAATCCATAAAGTTGACAACTTGGCACCTTTGCATGGTCCAAAAGGACCCAATCATGATTTCAAGCATTATAACCCTATAAAGAGGCCAAGATGCAAGCTTTCACCTTAAGATCTTAGTCCAAACTTCCAGATCTTATTCAAAGGGACTTCTTAAGTCATAAAGTTTCCAACTTTATGACTTAGCATAACTCAATGGGACCCAAATCAAAACCCTAAGTCCCAAACTTCATCAAATGACTACCAAATCATGAATGGAAGGTTTTTACCTATCAAGATCCAAACTTTATGGTTCCATAACCTCAAAAAGGACCAAATATGAAGCTCAAAGGTTCTGGAGTAACTTCTACTCACAAGAACCACCACAAAGGGACCAAAACCATAACCAAAAACCAACTAGCTAGATCTACATGAAAGAGTTGTCAAGGTTGAAACTTTATACCTCCAGAAGATAGATCTAGGTGCACAAAGCTTGGATCCAAATGCTCCAAGTCAAGCAATGACTCTTCAAGAAGTTCCTTCTTCTTCTTCAAGCACCAAAACACACATAAATCCCTTTTAAGCTCAAGAATCACTCAAATGGAGGCTAGTGTTTCATTCTTAGGGTTAGGGAGGATGGAGGCTGAAGAATGGAAGAGGTTTGGGTCCATAATGATGCTTATAAAGGGACCAAACCCTAAAAAAGAGCTTTTGAAACTGTCATGTGTTCCCAACATGGTCCGCGTCCAATTTCCTTCTTGAACGCCATGCGTTCCTACCGGGTACACTATGCGTACCCGTTTTGGCCCAAACCCCCTTAAACTTCAAATGGTCATAACTTTTGCATCCCTTATCCGTTTTCGACGTTCTTTATATCCACGAAAAGGTAACGAGAAGCCCTAGACTTCTATCAACTTTATTTAGCCTGAAAACCAACCGAAATAAGATCCAAAATTCATAAAAGGCCCGAACCAACGCCTTTACCAATGCCCTTGGACTCTAAAACACAAACCGAATACTGGGATCATCCAAACTACATCATCCACCTCCAAATGAGCCCAAACTCGATTCTTCAAGGGTTCTAAGTCAGCTAATACCCATTCCTTTCTCACCACCCCGCAATGGCAACGATTTGAAACAGGACGTTACAGTTTAATCAAAAGTAATGAAGCATGGTGCATGCATGGGGACAAGGTTGTCTAAAGGTCTTAATGGTTAAAGACCTTTAGATCATGTGTATGCTTCAAATGGCTAAAGTCTTGCACTCTTGGGGATTCATTACTTGCAATTGCCGAGAGCTCTCTAGGAGACTCTCCATCTCTTCTTTGCTTTGAGTTATTGAAGATTACTTGCATGTCTTTTTCTCTCTTGGATAAAATACTTGGGTATTTTATCTTCAAGCTTAAGATTTAAGAGTTATGGACTAGCATCTACATCAAGTTGAGTCATTGTTGGTGTCTCAAAGGTTTCATCTTTTTCATCAACTTCCAAGCCTCCCAAGATGATCCAAAGAACAACAAAGGTTGTTATTTCTTCATCCTTTTTATGGTTGGTATTTTATCTTTCTATAACTTGAAGGAGATCCTTGGTGGGTATAGAATGTTATGTTATGTTCAAATTTTTAAGTCTTCTGTTGCCATATTTTGTAGTTTTTGAAACTATTTTGAACTAAAACCCAACACGTCAATCTAAATTCTTTTAGATACAGAGCATTTATTTTTCCAATCGATATAAGTTGGGGAAGGCATTTATGAGGGTGTCATTGTCGATCTATTTATCTACCCAGAATAATGTATCATTTCCCACATTAGTTTGCTTTTTTATAACTTCTCCAATTGGGATGCCAATTTTGGCTAAATCCTCCTTGATACCTGTTATATTGTTCCAACCCCCAACTATTGACCTTGACATACATTCATCATGCTTTAAATAGAGGTTGTGTATCCCTTTAATAATACAACTCCATAGTGAAGATGAGTCAGTCTTAATACGTCACCACCACTTCACTATAAGTGCATTATTTAGGGCACGAATTGATCCATGTTTAGGGCACAAATTGATCCAACACCAAGCCCCCCCACAATCTTTAGGTGTCATTACTTTATCTTATGATATCCAAGTTAAATTTTGTTTTATTATCGACCCCACACCATAAGAATTGTCTCTGAAACCGCTCAAGGGTGTTAATTACACCCAATAGAGAAATAAAAAGTGAAAAGAAATAAGTAGGAACATTACCTAATACTTGCTTGACTATGGTAGTCTCTCATTGAATGATAAGGTCTTCGATCTCCAAGATGAAAGCTTAGATTGGAACCTCTCAATGATCGGCTTCCAATTCTTCTTGAGGTTCATGTTTGCCCCCACATGAACAACACCAAGATAGGTAAATTGAAGGGTAGTCGATTTACATCTAAGGAGAGAGGCCCACCGATTGGTTTTGTTCATTGAAGCCCCGATACCTAAAACTTTGGACTTATGAAAATTAACTTTTAGACCGGATGAGACTTAAAAGCAACGAAGGATTCGGGCTAAGTTTTTGATGTTGCTTTTGGACCATTCCCCCACAAATAAGGCGTCGTCAGCATAGAAAATATGGGATACATAGTTTTTCATTATGGGGAATTTTAAACATTTGAATATACCTTTCTCACAAGTCGTCTTCATGGATACAGTAAGACCTTCTATGGCTATTATAAAGAGAAAGGAAGATAGAGGGTCGTATTGCCTAAAGCCTTTGGAAATAGAAAGTTCATATGTCGGTGCCCCGTTAACAAGAATTGATGCTCTGGAGGATGAAAGACACCCATTGATCCACATACGTCATTTCAAGCCATAACCTATTTGCATGAGAATAAAATTGAGGTACTTCCAATTAATTGAATCAGACACCTTATCGAAATCAACTTTAAATAAAAGAACTTTTCGCTTTGGTTTTTTCACCCAACAACATACTTCGTTAACAATAAGAGGTCTGTCAAGGATGTTTCGAGCCTTCATAAAAGTCGATTGTACCTTGTCAATATTGTGCCCAATAACCACTTTTAGACATGTAGTGAGAATCTTGGCAATGATCTTGTATACACATCCAATAAGAATAAGACTCATTGGACCGTAGTCACTGAGTTTGATTGGATCCTTGATTTTTCGGGCAACAATGATAAATGATGAGTTAAATCCCCTTATGATTTTCCTATATCTCTTGAAGTGCTTCACAAAAGCCACAATATCGGTTTTTAACAACCCCTAGTAAGTTTTTATGATTTAGAAGCATCTCGTTCGGGAACTGAATCTTCGGTCAAACAGCAAATTTGATCTCTTCAAAAGAAATAAGGGTTTCTAAGTTCAAACTAATCTCAAGGAAAAGAGGACGGAATTTGGAACTGAATCTTCGGTCTCGAGGGCCATTTTCCATGAACTTATTCTTGAAGAATCTAAAGACTTTTCATTTTATCACACCAACCTTAGTGTTCTATTCATCATTAATTATGAGCCCCATGTATTCGATTCTTCATATTCTTGTTGTTCCCATACCCATGAAGGAAAAAAAAAATTCGTCGCCATCAACCGCCAACTTTATACAAGACTTTTGTTTTAAGCTGAGTATCACTCCCTTTTCCAATTTAATAATTTGTTGGTGACCGTTTCTTCGTTCTGCCATCTCCAAATCAAAAGGCGATATGGATTACGAAATTGTATCTATCTCATCAACCCATTGTTTTGATTGTTTCATATCGCGAACCCCTTGGGATGATCAAGGCCCTCCGGTTCTTGATTTCATTTTTTAGGTGTCGTGACTTCTAACTAATCCATCTTATTTATACAACTCTCTAACCGACTAAAATCTCCACATGATAAACTGACATTTTTTTTTTTTTGAACCGGCAAATACAAATATTATAATCTACTCATAAATTAACAACTAATTTCACCTATGTCCACCACGGGACTTGAACCCTCGACCTCAAGAAGGGAGGATACCACCTGATACCGCTGGGCTAGAAGCCCTTTGGTACATGATAAATTGACTAATCTACCCTTACCATTTAAATGAAGTGCAATAACATAAATGCCCCTCATCTTATTTCTTTTTGCTTTCCCTAGTCTTGTTTTCATGCCTTGCACTATGGTCCGTGTTCATCATTTGATAATCATTGGTTTAAAGACAATATTGATCAATTTGCTTTCCATAGAGAAAACAATTAAACTAAGGAGCCTCACTCAAACCATAATTAGACCCAAGTTGATTTATAAACGTTGCATACAATCAAATCGAATAATTCAAATTCTTAAGACGAATGGTAGGCAAGACTTATATTAAATGACTATTTTTCTACATAAATTTCAACAAACAAATTAAAATTTGTGCAAATAAGTCCCTCATTTCATATCCATTTTGAATATGGAATCTTTATTTTAACAAGTTGGACTAAAGAGTAGAACAGCAACTAACACAAGATTTAATACAACACAAAACTAAAAGTAATTCCACAAACAACACCCGATTTATAAAACATTAGCAACTTTCTTCTACAAACCTATATATCATCATCTTACGAAGATAAAAATAGTTGCTATTTTAGCCTTATACCCTTTTATGTCATATACCATTAAAACCAAAGTTCGAGATGTTATCACTGGTCAACAAGATTATCATAATTAGTCTATCCAGTCATACTTGTAAACGAACACATATATGAGGGCAAAAAGGACATTTATATCGATTACCACCATCATTTTCCAAATCTTTTGTATTTGTAAACATTCAAGTCTATCGAGTATTAACATACTAGTGATTTCTCATTGTGTGGCGTTGGAAGCTTTTCGGTTGCTCTAGATTGTCATACACTGTCAGTAACAGTGACAGTGACACAGTGATGTATTTGTAGAATTATTTTGAGGTGCTTGTTTTGTCTTGATGCACGCGTTTTGCCCTACGGCGTGTATGGCTTGTATGGGAATTACGCGATCGCCTTTTTGACTTTTTACTGCCAAAGAAAATAAATAAATAAAAAATCAAGAATGACATTTGAATAAACATTAGTAAAAGCAATAAAACAAACCTGAATAAAGATGACACCATAGTAAGTAGAACCATCACAGGAAAAACTATTAAAGCAGATGCCTACAATAAAATAACACAATAATCTCTTTAACTATAATATTATATAAACTATTTTTAAAAAAATAATCACATTAAGGCACATACCATAAACCACACAAGTTCATTAGTTGCAAAGGCACGTGTAATTTCATTTTGCTTCATCACTTCATGTATGTTACCTCGTACCTTCCAAAATAAAATCCACGTCATCAATAATTATAAATAAAAAAATAAATATTATATTCTTTTTGACTTTTTCCTTCCAACATACAATCAAACTAACACCAAATTATATATTCAACTAAGTCTCCACTTAATCCATGGTTACGCTACAAAACATAAGGCTAAATGACAAAACAACAAACAAAAGGGTAAAATTGTCATTTAAAAAAAAAAGCAAAATTTTACCTGGCGATGGTATTTTAGGGTGTATTTGGAGAACCTTTTATAACCACGGAGTAATTTCTTGGAGTAAGGTTTTAAAAAGATATGTGTTTTATTAACATAAGGTTTCAGTGTCTTTGAAAGCCAATTGACATAAGGTTTTGTAAACTTCTTAACTTCCTGCGTAGATATACAACACATGGTAAATGTTATCCCAATTTTTTATTTTTATACATAAATAAAAAATATAAATAACAAAATGAAATGATTGGCTAAATTTTACAATAACAAGACCTTGATGTAAGGATCCAAAATGGTTTTTATATTGGAAATTTGAGGCTGTAATTTTTTCATGGATACATGGTAAATTTCAACAGTCTTCACAGTAAATTTTTGTGCATGTGGTTCCATATTTGTCACTAATGTAAGCCATTGTTCCTTGATAATAGGAATCCATTTCTGTAGATAAAAGAAATAACATTAAGTATAGTCATAAACTAATATTAATAAAAGATAAATGCAAGAAATAGCAATAAAACTTGTTATGTATTTAAATGAAAAAAAAAAAAAGTTCTTACTGTGTGAACCATATCAATGTAGGGCCATGTCCACCTTTGAACTTGAGTTTGTGTTTCCATTGCCTAAAAAAATTTCATAATATTAATAACATAACTTTAAAAATATTAATATTAGTTTTTGCTCTATTTTAAGTCTGTTTATCATGTGAAAAGAGTGTTACAAACTTTTTGTCAATATCAGAAAGTAATTATATAATATGAAAGAAACTGATTAAAGTAAAATTTCTAGAAAACCTTTTGAAATGCAACATCAAGAGCTGGTTTTCCATACACATTCCAATGAGTCACCATGAAAGACTGCATATTAAGAAAAAGATTCATGTTTACAGAAACTATAATTCAAAAATATACCAAGAAAAATAAGAAATAGAAATGTTTTTTTTCATTTATTTTAAACCAAAAGGAAATGGGAATATACCTGACAATGAATTAAATGAATTGCTAGCCATGGTGGAAGCCATGAATCATGGACCTGATGCATAAATATTTTTTTAAAAAACAAAAATATATAATGAAAGTATATTGTTATTTTTCTTGTATTTCAATTTCATATACCTCTGCAAGTTCTTTTGAGAAGCGTGCAGCTTTAAATTGGACTCTGATTCTTTCTTCCTATAAACATATTGGAGTCATTGAAATTTTGTAAAAGTAGCCAAAGTTTAAAAATAAAAGATAAAAAAAAAAAGTCGAGTTTTAGAAAACCTCAGCTTTCTTTAGAGCACGTTCTGTATTATGGATTCTGATCTTTTGTTCTTCATTTGTCCTCTGAAGCTGGAAACAAAGATAAATTTATACAAAGAAAAATTTATACATATAAAATAAGAAATACTACAAGTAGAAATAACTGAGTTATAATAATAATTCATGGGTACCTTCACAAGTTTCTCATTTAATTCTGCAATTTTTGTTTCAGCAACATTTATTCGAGCTTCAAGTGCATCTTTTTTTGTGTTTTGTTTTGCTATTTCAATTCTAAGATCTTCAACCTATCGAAAAAGAAAGTCAATTTAGGAATTGAACAATGAGATTATATATTTTGATGATATTATGAACATCACCTTCTTTTCAAGTTCACCAGCTCTTGCATGAGCCTCATTCACTTGTTCCTTTGCATCAAAAGATTCCTTTTTCTGCAAAAAGAAATGGAAGAATCATGTATTGACACATCAACTTGATAACTTCAGATGCAAACAATAACAAAAATTGTTAAAAATGACCTGGAGAGATTGAATTTCACTACGCAAGGAGGCCAAACTGTTTGATTTCTCAAAAACAGTTGTTTCCAGTTGTTTGATTCTTTCATCTTTGGAGTTAATTTCACGGCTCCTCTCATCAATGCTGGATTCTGAGAATGAAATCCTTGGAAAAATGAATATATTTGTGCAGAAATTGTAAATAAACTCTCGTTTCCATGGTACTGATATAAAAAAGAAGATGCAAAGGAATTGATAGTCATTTGAAAATGGTTGAATAAGACTGTAAATGTTAGAGCATACAAGAAATGATACAGAGATAAACGTTATAGTTCATACCATCAGTTAAGAAACACACCTTACAGCTATAGGAAAAAGGAAAACCTAGAAACAATCCATAATCACCAGCCTTTTACCAAAATCTAAGTAAATCAATTTTCGGAGTTCATTGTACATAACGAAAATGGTGAAACGCGAAATTGAGAAGATAGAAGCGAGACCTAAATTGAGAATCTTTGATAGGAGCTGTTCATGCTTGATTTTGAGAGATGAATCGTCCGACTGGTCTACTTCGTAATCATGAAGGGTTTCTGAAGATGCAAATAGGAAGAGAATTAGGGTCATACAGAAGAATAGCCGTCGTTTGGGGGCCGCCATTGGAGTAAAATTCGAGCTCATAAATGAATGGAAAAGTTTTTTTGTTTCCCGATTTTATAGTACTGGGAAAAGGGGGGAAAGAGGAAGACTTCCTTTCCATATATATATTTATAGAATAAATTTTTGTAAGAACATAAAAAAAAAAAAAAAAAAAAAAAATTGTTTATAAAATGGTTTTTTTTTAATTATTTGTTTGAGTAAATTACACGAATGGTCCCTATGGTTTGGGGTAATTTGCGCGTTTGGTCCCTAACTTATTTTTTTAACTTCCAAGGTCCCTAATGTTTGTTTTTGTTATGCACTTGGTCCCTACGGTTTGTTTTTGTTACGCATTTGGTCCCTATCTTACCTAAAAATACTATTATTTAAATAGGGAAAAATTGTGGGGTAGATAAGGTAAGGTGAGGAGGGTGAGGTTGGGGGTGTGTTTATTTGAATAAATTAAAAAATGAAGGGCAAAATAGTCGTTTTAGGTAAGACAGAGATCAAGCGCGTAACAAAAACAAACAGTAGAGACCTTCCAAGTTAAAAAAATAAGTTAGGGACCAAACACGCAAGTTACCCTAAACCATAAGGACCATTCGTGTAAATTTACTCTATTTGTTTTAAGACAAAATTGCAAAAATGGTCCCTGTGGTTGGTAAAAATATGTGATTTTGGTCCAAAAATGTTTAGTGGTGCACCAGTGGTCCAATTTTGGATCTTTTTAGTGATTTTGGTCCCTATATACTTAAAAAGACGATTATGCCCTTGTAATTATATTTTTCATTTTTTATATTTATATTAATGGTTTTAGTTAATTGAAAATAATAAAGGGCCCACCAACCCTACACCTCTTCTTCTCCAGTTCTCCCCATCTCTCTGATGTTATCCCTCCTAACACCATCGCCACTTCATCTCCTTTTAGCTATGGATCCCCCCCCCCCAGTTCGTAACATCTTGCATACATTTTATCCTTCGCACCAGCCACTAAAGGCAGAGCTTTAGTCGTCGCCAGTGCATTCCACCAACGGAAACATCCCTAGAATCACAGTCCAAACCCTAGTTTCTAGAATTTATAAATTTTGAATCCATAAGCACCCAGAACACATTTACCCTCGTCTATTCAAGCTATTATGGCTTCTCCATGTCCCGATTTGTAATTAGCTCAGGTGAGTTTGAAACATTAGCAAATGGAGAACACCAACCTGCAACAATGGTGATTTTGTTGAAACTTGCAGATGAGACAAGACATCTATGGTTTGTGCCTTTGACTCTCGATTACCATGAACTTGTGAACAATGTGTGGGTCGGTTATTTCTTTTCTGAATACAAAATGCTCGATGCCTACTGCTAATGATTTCTTTTCTAATTTTCAGGTGGGTTTTGTTAGGGTTGGAAAGTGTCGATAGTGTGTGTGTGTGTGTGTTGAGTCTAAACCTATAGCTAGAGACACTTGATATCGATTTCTGAAATTGTATGTCTCGTATGATAAACAAGCACCGGCGACATTGATGAACAAGCATGACATGGTGGTCATGAGCAAATAGGGGTGAAGATGGTAGGATGGACTAATGGTGGTGGCTAGGGGAAATAAGGGGGTGAGGTCTGTGGAAGAATGGCTCAATTCAAAAGAGAAGTAGAAAAGGGGCGATAGATCACCATCACAGACTTGCTATTATTTCCTTTGGAAACCTGCAACTCGAGAAAAAATGGAAGAAGATGAGACCAATTTTTGATCTTGACCTACAGTTTTCCTCGTCTATATTTCTTTTAATTAACATTTGCATTGAGCGAAGGAGAAGAAGGAAGCGTGGGATAATTTGAGTGTGTGTGTGTATTTTTTGAGTGTATGTGTGTGTGACTGTGTTTTATTAATTTTGGAAGAGAGAGAGAGAGAGTGTGCGTGTGTGTGTGTGGTGGGTTTATTTTGTTTTTGTTTTTCATTTTTATTATAAGAATAAGAAAATAAATAAAAGAAATTAAAATATAATTATTTAAGGGGCATATTAGTCATTTTAGGTGGGATGTGGACCAAAAACACAAGAAAATATAACCATAAGGATCAAAAACACACAATGTATCTAAAATTGGACCGGTGGTGCACCAACATTTCGTTTTGGACCAAAACTACAGAATTTTGCCAACCACAAGGATCATTTTTGCAATTTTGTCTTGTTTTTTAAAACTCTTTTGAATATATATTTTTATTAATTTTAAAAGTTTATTTTTATATATTATTTTATATTTTACAACGAATTTATTCTCTAGTTTTTATTAAATATTATTTTTATGAGCTAATAGGTTTATAATAATTAAGTAGTTTTTCAATTAACAATTTTTTTTAGTTAATTTGTGAGACATGGTCTAAAAGTTTTGTTTGTCTCAAAAGCTTGAAGACGGGGTATTTTTTTTTAAGTACGGGTGAGCACGGATAGCGTGTATTTTTTTTTGGAATCGGAACTGTCTCGAAATCGTTGGTTCAAACCGAGGTCATTGGTTTCGGTTCCAGGTCCTAAAAGTGGGAACCGCCAATGACCGGTTCTGGTTTCGGTTTCGATTTTTTAGGAACCATTATCTGCCGGGTAACCGTCGGAACTAATTCTAAAATATTAAAATTTAAAAATACTTAATATTTAAACGAATTGGCCGTAACAACGTTGATAATTAAGACATTTATTGGGACTATCTAATTGGATCTTGGAAGTAACATGTTAATAAGTCATATTTGCAACGTTTTTTTTTCAAAACAAACAGTCTGATGTGAATGTGAATGTAAATGTATGACTGCAAAGTAATTTGAACATGTGTGATGGTAACATCTTTTGAAAAGATTTGATATTAAATAACACATGTTGATGATGATAAGAACATGAACTTTGGTTTATGATTTATATTTAGCAACTTGGATTATCTTTTAAAACGATTATTTTTTCGCCGTTTGTAATCTGTATCGTAATAAATTAGTTATAGTATTTATTTTTTGTTTCAATTGCTAAGAATTATTTTGTATTAACGAAACTAAAAATGACGTAACCGAGTTACCCGCTCCCGGAACCGAAACTGACAGTTTCAGGACTAGTTCCAAAAATTTAAGAACCACCTATACCGGTTCCATTTCCGGTTTTGGCGAAATGAGGAGGATACCCGCCTATATTCATCCCTATTTATAAGGGTATTTCTAAAACTAATCATTTTTATATGTTTTATTTAAGAAGACAACTGAAAATATTAAAAATAAAATAACCAACTTTTATGGAATTGACATTTTTGGAGCGATTTTGGGTGGGTACCTGATCCAATATAAGTGGTCCCCCTTATATATACATTGTTTCCAAAATGTAGTACCCATCAGATCTCAGGAGTGACATTTCAAACTCTTGGATTTTGAAGAAAATGGCTTCTTATGATAAAGATGTTATAATGTTGTGGGTAAGTTTTCTTTACTTTAACTTCTTAACGTTTGTTTCAATTTACAGTTTAAAATTGATAAATGTAAAGATATTAAGATGTCTAAAATACGAAGATTGATTCTTAAACGTGTAGAACGTGTTCGAATATATATAAAAATTAAGGTGAAAATAGGTATATATGTAGTTATATTTACTATTTAGATACGTGTATCTAGGATATTCATAGTGGTCCGGAATACAAAGACTTTATCTGAAAACTCCAATAATAAGTCTGGAATATGAAAATCAAATCTGAAATTGTAACAATATGCCATAATGTTAAGTTTTCCATCTTTATTTTAGCATGATCGTATGTATGACGTCGTAGTCACTACCACTTGCAAACCTGACTTGGGTTAGGTTATTATTGCAAGACTACAACATATCCCAACATGAGCCGTGTTTTTTTAGTGTATCATGTTTTGGTAGGTGGATTGATGTACCATTTATTATTAGTAATTTCTTTTTATTATAATTATCAATATAATATACTATAAATTATTATTCCATTAATTGGGTATCATATGCTTGACAGGTTACAAAAGGCTATTCATTGTCATAATTGAATGTCATTGACTAGAACTTAACGGGGGCTTTAACATTTATGTATAAATAGTTGATGATCCCAACACATAAAGACACAATCATTTCTATTACATTCTTAATTCCCATTATATAAGAGTGTGAGAAAGAAATACCAAAGGGCCTTGTTGAGAAAGACCAACACACAATAGTTATACTTTGTCTTCGATATTTCGCATCGAGAGAGACCACGGCTAAATCAAACAATGGATTCACGTATGAGACTTTTTTATCTTGGTGATTAAATGATATGGTTTGATAGTTTATAATATTTTAATCTAACAAATGATATCAGAGCCATCATATTTATTTAATCATTAGATTATTATTGATTTTCTGCATAGATAATTCTACATAAAATTGAACATATTTGCTATATTGTTAGTACATATTTTTTTTAGGTTATGCATTGCTTGTGTGGAAATCAATCTCAATGTTTTTCCTATTTTTGTTTACTATAATATAATATGATTTTTTCTTATAACAGTAAAATTAAGGTTAAACAGAAAAAATCACGTAATATGGATCTTCTGTTTACTATTTTATGTTTTACTCTAATAAAGAATGGATAATCATTACAATATTTATTTAAAAGAAATTTACATATTTAGTCAAATAACTTAATGACTTTTTTTAAAAATAGTCTGAAAATTCGTTTTTTTACGGATCTAGCCAATGAAATTACAGATGGCTAGACACACCTGCGATTTGCTATCCTCTAGCTATGAATCAACCATTGGACTATGATTTTGGTCTAATTTTCGGCCCATGGCCCGAAAAGAATAAGTAGCTATAAAAGACTTTTTTTTTAAGAAATCACAGTTGGTTTTGCTTCATCTGCGATTTCATATGCTCTACCTAAGATTTCCCCTCGTATATTCTTGATTTTTTTATTTATGTTTCCAATAAAATATGTAAGTTTGTGTAACATCCCGTTTTCACCCATCAGTAGGATTTACTATAAACCGTTGTTTATAAAATTAGAAGTAGAAATATACTACTTTTTGGCCAAAGTAATCATCATAAAATGTATAGTAGACGTCAATACGATT